TATTAGCAAGCTCCTGCTTGCTTGTTGACACATGTCGATTTCTCTAATCGATCGACACGCGGAGCACTTCTCTTTATGCCACTTACCGTTTGATCACGTGTGGATGTCATCCAACGTGGCAACTTGGCTCTTCTACTATCTCCTCTGATTGGGCTCTCGACAATTCAAAAGCGGGATCTTTCTCGTGCCGTCGCCGCGACACGCGTCCATTACCTGTTGCATCAGTAATTAACCGGGAGGGGGAAAGGAAGTTGGTACATGGCGGCATGGCGGGGCGGAGGGCTTAGGGGTAGCGGGGGCAGGAACCTTTCCATCCCGGCTGCAGTCTCCGGGAGTTCTTGGTAATGGACAATGCGGTGGAGACGGGGGAATCGATTGCCAGTGCGAGGGAGGGACGCGAGATAGACGGGGTAGAGGGTGGTGAAGGTTCGGAAGAGCGCCGTGCGGAAACGATCGCGATCCTCGCATGCGGGGATGGTCCCCGTTATCATACAATAAACCTCAATCATATTGTGGCCTCGCCACGCTGCACTGAAAAGCAAGACATGGAGGCAAAAGGCCGGGGCGGCGCATCGGAGGGAGGGGTGGGGATGCACTACGACAGAGAGGCGAGTGGCGTAGAACTGGCGGAAGGTACTGCGGGGGAATGGATTGGAGGGGAACGTAATGGGGGTGGTGAGCTGGCGAAGGGTGAGGTATTCAAGGGGACGACGAGAGAGTGATCAGGGACGAAGGCCGATCGCCCGTATCGGTACGTCGGCGAACTGGGGGACGGGTTGGGGAGGAGGGGGATCAGCTTCGCCGCCGTGCCGATGAGGCCGGAGTCGTGGCCGCGAGGTCGCCATCTTCAGGTCGGGGCGGCTCCGGATCACGGTTCGGGTCGTCGCAAATCTGCAGACTCGCCGCGCTTGCAAGTTCTAACTCCTTCTCGGCCGCGATCTCTTCCCTTTTACGGGCCGCCTCGGGACCCTCTGCCTCTGTACCTGTGCACAACGCTTCTTCCGACACGGTTTCCCACTCTGATCCAACAGATTCTTCTTCGTGCCCTTCTTCTCCTTCTTTGTCTTCTTCCTCTTCTTCGCTCTGCTCCCCCTCGCTATGCTCGCTATGGCTTCCTTCTTCGGGGGTTTCATCCTCTTCCCCGAGTACTTCGTCGCCTTTCTCACTTTCTTCCCGCTCGTCTTCCACTCTAAGTGCTTTCTTCCTCCTCTTCCTCCTCTTGGATGGCAGCAAGCTGCTCCGCCGTTGGCTGCCTGAAGAAGGCAGGATCGGGAACCACCTGGGGATCCAAATGTTGTCGCTGCGACGGCGGGATGCGTTCCGCGGCTCCTTCTACGCAAGCCGACCACTGAAGATGAGGTGTCAAGGTGCGAGAAAGAACATAGGGGAACTGGATGCTCGTCGTCTTGCGAGATGATGTCAAGAGGGAGGTCGTCTGACAGCTGCGCTACCGGGATCGTGAGTTCTTGCGTGATAAGTTCCTGATGGTCGGGCCGTACTGCACCGAATAAGAATGCGAGGAGCTCTCCCTTTACGTTGGTGCGCCAGGCCTGGATAAACAGCAACTCCAGCCGCTCTATGCAAGGCGGGTGCACTTCGTCCTCGATCCACGTCAGCCGTACTTCGACCAAACACAGTGAAAGCTCTACGAAGTCTTCGCGCCACAGGTCCCAGTATGGGGGATGAATGTCGGGGACAGCAAGCGTTGTTAGGCAGTAGGAAAGGCGAGGACGGATATCGGACTTCCAGAACGTGGGGAAGGTGGAGGGGAGATAAAAAATGGAGATCGGAAAAAGACTCATTGGGGGCGAGGGAAAGGAACAACAACAGGGAGGATCGCCGGCGGATCACGTTGGTACATCCGAAGGCCGTTGTATTCGATTGCTCGTGTCGTCGCGACTATGTCCCCGGGGTGAGCCAGAAGTTGGGTCCACTCGGCGACCAGGTCGTTTTCCCACGCGCGCAGCGATGTCCTCACCACCGAATGTCGTAAAGGGAGGAGTGTGGAAAGATCGCCACGGAAGTTAATGACGACCGATATGCGGCTGACACCTGGTACCGCTCGCTGATGAACCGCTACTACCTCGGCCAGTACCACTGCGTTGGGCCGACCTTCTATTTTGAATACCGCCGCTGCGTATATACCTTCCGTGCAGAAGAAGTGCGCAAGTCGCCGAAGGTCTAGGGATGATAGACCTGCCGGATCGTCAGTCGATCACGGGGCGCAAGCGCTGCTTCGCCGAGGGCTCTCTCCTCCAGAAAACTCATGGCGATGGCGATGGTGACGGGGAGGCAGAGAGGGAGCAAGAGGAAGAGGGAGATGCCGAAGAGGTAGAGCTATCGTCCTCGGCTTCCTCAGAGAGAGAAAAAGAGGGAGAAGGAGTCGGAGCAGAGGGGAGGGGGCGGAGATAGGACACGTGGCGTGTGATCGGACGAGCCGATCGACTGCCAGAGACTTCAGGGGCGAGGCGCATAGTGTCCACGCCGTTGGGGCCGAGCTCGATCACGCGATATCGCCCGAAGAATCGTGGCGCTAGCTTACCCTGGCGAGCACATTTCCTCACCTGCACCACGTCCCCCAATTTGTACTAAGGCCGCGGACCCGCATTCCCATTTCGGGCTTCGTAGCTCCGGACCTGTCGGCCTTGGGCTAGTTCGGTCATTTTCTGTCGTTTTCGGGCTAGCCTGGGCAGTGACCGTTCCATTAGCTCTAGGTGCCGCTTGGCCTTGTCCCTCGCCGTGGCCCTGGTGGGTCATCGGTTCAATGTAGACTCATCTGGGAGGCTTGGTATCGAAACGCAAGCGACGTTATTGGTCCTTAATTGGAAGGGGCTTAGCCCCGTCGATTCGTGGGGTGTTCCGCGATCGACCTCTAGAATGTGATCGACGATATCGGGCCAAGGTCTCGGATCCCGTGCCGCGATGTTTCATCGTAACGCTGTCTTTATCACCCGATTAGCGTTTTTGACCAGCCCGTTGGACTGTGACATGTGAGGTGCAGTGTTCCGTATGGCGACGCCGTGTAGGACCAAATTCCTTAACACTTCTCCCCTGAATTCAGCCCCATTGTCGGTTAGGATTTCTTCCGTATCCTGATGCATCCCGAGGAAACGGTTGATATATCGCGCGATTTCCGTGGCTTGCCGCGTGCGACAAGGATACGCTTCGATCCATTTTGAGAAATGGTCGACAAATACCAGCAGGACTGAATACTCGCAACTATTAGGGTCAGGGGGCACCACTATGTCGGTAGTGTCCATGCTCACTCTTTGAAATGGCCGTTCAACAAACGTGGGCACTATCGATCTTGGCGGCTGAATCGGCGCTTTATCAGCGGCGCAGACCTGACAGTTGGCGACGATGTACTTCACATCGTCGCGGATACTGGACCAATACCACTCATTTTTGTCGATAGCAGACTCTGTGATTCGTACGGCAAAATGAGCCGCAGTTTCCTCGTGGGCTGTCTTAACCCAGTCATACCGCATGAACGGATGCGGCACTTCCATCCAAATCCCACTGCCGTCCGTTTTCCGTTTTTTTAATCTACCCTCTACCCAACGATAATCCCGAGCTCTTTCGTTGGCCCTCCTCCGATCTTCTTTGGTGAAATCCTGGAGGGGGTTACCCACTAGGGTGGCAATTAAGGCAATATTCGTCCATACTTCGGCCCTTCTAAACTTTCGGGTCTTTTCCAATCCTTCTGACGTGGCATCCAAAAATCGAGCCTCGGTAGGAATCTTGTTGGTCCGGCACAAGGGGCACAACCATGGTCTACTATCGTTTCTGTATTGGATGGACGAGCCATGGGCTCGTGCAACACACTGTCTGCAATCTATCCAATCCGCATACCCCTCCCTGTTAGGACGCATGGGGACCGAATATACGCGGGAAATAGCAAAAATAGCAAAATTTGTCGGGCAGGGAGAGGAGAGACGAAGAGGAAGGGGAAGAGAGAGGGGTAGTGGGCTGTGTGTCCTATGAACGGAGAACGGGCGTAATTCAACGCCATTGAACCCGTTCAACGGGCCTGGGGCCCCCCGTTAAATCGCGTTTAACGCGAAAACGGGGGTGTTCCGTTGAATTATGAAAAACGGAACCGGCTCCTTGGGCCTCGGACACGTGGCCCTACGAGCCCAAACACTAAGAAAAAGTAAAAATAAATTTGACCCCTACTAACAGGGTGGGGTGGCCAAACATGCCCCTACTGCCCGAAATTCAAACTGCAAGAAGGAAAAAAGTAGGGGCCACCCCATACACCAAGACTGTGAACACATCTGTGTGCATGTGGGTGCATTTCCTTCTTTTTTTGTTTTTTTTTTACAAATATGCTGCAATCTAGTCGTCCAGTCTCATTTCCGAAGGGTCCCCACGAATTAGCAAGAACCCTCGTGGAGCAGAGACTTGGAGAATGCCTTTGTGGCCCAATAATATATAGTATGGATTCGAATTTAGGTCTGTGGCAGTCTGTGCAGCTTAGTTATGGGTCACCAATTCTCTGTTTTCTCGTTTTTTTTTTGTTTTTCTTTTTTTTTTTCCGTTTTTCTTTTGTTTTCTCATTTTTCTTCTGTTTTTTCTCGTTTTTTTTTTTTAAGGAATACGTGCAGTGGCCCTAAGGGCCTCAACTCACCACATGCACAGAAGACAAGACAGTTGGTGGTGTATTATTCCACGTTCTAGCAGAAGATCCTTTTTTTTTTAATTTTTTTTTATGAAAGCCCAGGGTGTTGTAGAGGCCAAGGACCAGACCCGTGGTGATTGCTGGTAGCAACAGCGAATGGTTGTCCTCTTAGGATAGGCCACCTACCCTACCATCCCCACGTTAATACTCCCAGCACACCCCCTGTCCCTACTATCCTACCTCAGTGTGACCAGCACTCASGACCATCACCCTACCAGGGCAACTTCGACCAGACAGCAGTGACAAGCACCAGGGGCATGGTCCCACTGGCAACCAGAGTTSAGTGACCCAAATCCTGCTGTGCASTACTCGTGATCCCACARTCMGTGTTTTACATGTATTACCCGAAAAAGTAAGGAGATCTTCGSTCCCCTCSTCCTCTCCTTAACACTGGGCATGCCCGTGCAAAGACAGCTTCCCGCCAGAATCTTTTCTATCGGTTGGGGGTGTGGCCAACCCCAAACGAGGTTGGGGTTGGCCTTAGCCCACTGCATAGAAGATTTTCAGCATTTTACTTGTTGTTGTGCAATTATCTGATTGGGTGGAGCCCTCCATTCAATCACGGAGTATATGGAGGGTGTCAGAATCACTGCTGTCAGAAGTCCAGTGTGACACTGTTTTTGCACTCTGCGGTGACTTCCGGTGGGAGGTCTCCTGTTTTTTTTTTTTTTTTTTTTGGCCTTTCTCCTATTTTCTCAGCCCAGAAATTCGTAATAAACCTGTCTGGCCGCTGCCATTCATTGTCACACTGGATCGGCCATGCTTCTATCGGACTGCTAATCGGACCACACCCCAGGGGCATGGTCCCGTTAGCAGACGGATTGGAGTGTGGCCGATCCAGTGTGACACTGAGTGGCAGCGGCCKRRCAGGTTTATTACKAATTTCTRGGYTGTGAAAACAGGAGAAAGGCCAAAMAAAAAMAAAAAAAACAGAGACCTCCCACCGGAAGTCACCGCAGAGTGCTTCCCAGCCATCAGATCACAAATGATCTGATGGTGGTGGTTGCAAAAACAGTGTCACACTGGATCGGCCACGCTTCTATCGGACTGCTAATGGGACCACACCCCAGACGCATGGTCCCATTAGCAAACGGATTGGGGTGTGGCCGATCCAGTGTGACACTGAGTGGCAGCGACCTGACAGGTTCATTATGAGTTTCTGGGCTGAGAAAACAGGAGAAAGGCAAAAAAAAAAAAAAAAAAACAGAGACCTTGCTGTATGAGACTTCAGACGCAAGGCTCATGCAATCTTCTACAGGCCCAAATCAGGCAGTCTATCCAGCAAGACTACCTACGCAATGCAGGCCAAAAAAAATCCCGTTTATGGTTTTGATTTTTTTAAAAATACACAAAGTTACAAAAAAAAGAAAAAAAAAAWAWWTTRTTGTRCATCCTTAAAAGATCTACAACCCTATATTTTTTATTTTATTTTTCTGTTTTTGTTTCCGCCCTTAAAAAATCTCTGTGATACCCAAAAAAAAAAGACTCATGTCATTTTATGTTTTTGTTTTTTTTCATTGTGCTTATGTTTTCGATTTTTTAAAAATACATTCAAAGCTAAAAAAATAAAAATAAAAATATGGGGTTGTAGACCTCGAAGAGATCTACGACCCCATTTTTTTTATTTTTTTTTCCGATAATGTTTAGCCTGGGAAAAAAATCATTGCGGACCGCATTTTTCCCCGTCTAACGCGCGTTCAAACGGGGATTGAACGAGAATTCAACGCGCGTTGAATAATTCAACATGGAACCCGCGTTGAATCCAAAATCGGACACATAGGTAGTGGGGTTACCTCCATCACCCATCATCGCCGTTTTACTTCTTGCCACGTGGAAGAACTGCCACTTGTCCGTATTTCAGCTCGTGGGTCAAGTCCGGCTCCTTCCACTGTGTAATTTCCTCACCCTTTGGTACCTTGGCAGGCCGGTGCAGACGTGTCAGCCCGTCCGCGTTGCCGTGTCGCTCTGTCTTTCGATGGACGATATCGAAGTTGTATTCTTGTAATCACACCGCCCAACGGCCAATCATGCCTGTGCAGTTGGTGAGCTTCTTCAATGCCAGCAGAGGCTCATGATCCGTTACGAGGTGAAACTTCTGTCCGTAGAGATACGGATGGAAGTGCTGGATTCCCCAAACTACCGCATAGCACTCGCCTTGAGGTGCGGAGTCGTTTCTTCGTTCGTCCGGTACGGTTCGTGACGCGAACTCGATGACGTGTTCGCGACCATCATTCCCCTTCTGTGCTAAAATAGCGGAAATAGCTTCCGGTTGCCAGTCCGTGATGAGAATGAACTGTTTCGAGGGGTCCGGTCGAATCAAAATAGGGGCCATTGCCAGAGCGTCCTTGAGAGTTGCAAAAGCCTGCTGGCACTCCGCGTCCCAGCTGAGGGGCTGATCCTTCCGCAACAGATTCGTTAGTGGTCGTGCAATCGAGGCAAAGCCCTTGATGAAGCGCCGATAGTACGACGCCAGTCCCAAGAAGGCTCGAACCTGCGTCAGTGACGTGGGAATCGGAGCTTCCTTTACCGCCGCAACTTTTCTCGAGTCTGGTCGCAGTCCTCCACGTGTCACAACATAGCCCAAGAACGAAATTTCCGAGACGAAAATTTCGCTCTTCTCAAGCGCAATTTTGAACCCCACGTCTCTTAATGCACCCAATGTCCATTCGATGTGTTGCGCGTGCCCGTGATAGGTTTCCGAGTAGACCAGGATGTCGTCCATGTACACGATCACGCAGAAGTTGATCATCCCTTGCGTCAGCCGTGTCTTGTTGACGAAATTCTGGAACGTCATGTTCATCGCTCGTTGAAAGGTGGCAGGCGCATTGCAAATCCCCATCGGACACCGAACCCACTGCCACGTGCCTTCAAACAACACAAAGGCCGTTTTCGGTCGATCTTCTTCCCTTACCAGAATATGATGGAAGCCAAGCCGAATATCAAACTTGCTGAAATAATTAGCGCACCCAATCGCATCCAACAAGTCATCAATTCGGAGGAGGGGATACACATCCTTGATCGTGATTTCATTCAGCTTGCGATAATCAATGCAAATGCGAATTACCCCGTTTTTCTTCGGCACTAATACTATGGGAAAGGACCAAGGTCCGGTAGCGGGTTCAATCCAACCACTGACTTCAAACTCCCGAATTCGTTCCAGAGCCTTTTTGCGTTCAATCAAGGAATAGCGATAAGGTTTGCAATGAATCGGGGAGTGATTTCCTGTCTGAATATCATGTTGGATTACTAACGACAATCCGATGTCAGTGTCTAACACACTAATTGCTCCTTGTTATTCCGTTAGAATATCCGCAATTACCTGGTGGATTTCTTCCGGCACATATTGTGCAGCGTGCAGTTCGAAAAGTTGGTTCCAGATCCGAACGTCAATCTGTTTCGTGTTCGCCTATTTTATCAAGTCGGGTGGAGGCGCCGAGATTAATGAATGATCCGATCGCCAGGAGAACACCGTGACCATCATCTAGGCATCTTCTTCCCGAATGGCCACGTGTCCTTTCGGTGTAATCTTGTCACAAACATCCTGCCATGGCACTTCCTTGGCTGCAATCTTTATCCCCAACCCGTCTGTTTCTGCTTCAAAACGCTCAGGGGGTTCCAGAAAGCTTGCTTCCACCCCCAGGCGTAGCAATCTCACTTCTTTATTCATTGTTAGTAAAGACCTAGGTAGTTCCGTAATGTCGCAATAATGCTTTTTATCGCTATACCTGGCGAGGAGAAGGGTGATCCCTTCGTACAGAGTTTGAGGGGGTTCCAAAGAGTCGACCATCCTCGAAATCTGCACGAGGGGCTCTCCCAAGATCATCGCCTTGGTCCTTTGCTATGAAACCGCGCGTTCATTGAACGCGAGTTTTTCGTTCAGAAATTGAACGGAATGCACGCGCGTTCAATGAACGGGACCGAACGCGGAGTTCAATTCCGCGCGGGACCAAAAAAAAAAAAAAAAAAAAACCCTCAAAAACTTCCGACAAAAAACTATGTTATGAAGAAAAATAAAATAAACAACATTTGCCTGAGCATTATATCTAAATTCGTTACCAAATGGAAACAAAAAATAGAAAACAGAAAAAAAAAAATTGAAATTAGTGAGCGAACATGATTTGACACCGCCATCTTTGATGATTTTTCATTTTTTTTTGCCTTACCAAAATGATTCCAAAATTGAGAAGCATGTTCCTCACATCATACAGAACTCATAAAAAAAAAATCAGAAAACAAAAGTTATTTTTAGGCAGTAAAAGGATTTGAAAAAAATAAATAAAAAAATAAAAAAATAATTGAACGCCGTTCAATTTTGAACTCGAACGTGCAATCCGCGTTCAAACGCACATTTAAACGCGAACGCGCGTTCACGGCATTCGAACGGTTACACAGGTCCTTTGAATTTTTCGGCTGGTCAGTTGCATTGTTCTCGCTATCGTTTTGGGCGGCGGGTAATAAACGCGTTGTCGTACCAATTTCACGATTTCCGGATCATCTTCGTCACTGCTTTCTGCATCATCAGTTGATGGCTCCCCTTCCGCAGGTTCCTCCCAGGAGATCATGCGGAGAGTCCCCGGCATCATCGGCGAGACCAGCGGGACCGCGTTAATAGTAGTGCGAAGGGTCAATCGCAAGGGCACCGCGTAGGGTTTCCCTCCTGTATTTCGGAGGACGATCGATCGTCGTTCAAAATCCAGGTTTGCTCGTAACGCCACAAGAGTGGGAAGTCCGAAAAGAACGTCGTACGTATTAACATCTAGTACTACGACATCCCCAAGCGCGTGTACTTCACCTAATCGGAAGGCGACATTGGTCATTCTCCCCATAATTTTAATATTTTTCTCATCTGCCGAAACGAGCTGATCTTTCTCGGTGAGCATGATCAGGTCGTTCTTCCTTCCTGCCCTCTYGACTACTCTTAGCGAAATAGCCAACACAGCTGCTCCTGAGTCTATAATCGCGTTGTAAGGAATTCCCCAAATTTCAATATCACATTCTGCAGATTTCCACGGAATCGGTTTAATCCGTAAGAAATGATCGTCTTTCTGAATTAATCCTACCCGTATTGGGTCCGGAGTGCTTGTTGGGTTTTCTTCCGGCGCGGGGCCCTTGGTTTTGGCACTTGGTGTTCGGGCGAGGGCAAATCGCTTTCGGTTTGCTTTGCAATGCTGTAACATTCGCTCATTGGCTTGCTCAGAGATCGAGAGTAGATGACCGATTGGTAGTGGAATCCGATGGTCCAAGGCTCGGATAATGTTTAATGCATGGATCTCTCCTGTGACGAAGGTGGGTCCTCCCGACTACATTTCTCCTAAGGATGGTCGCCACTCCGCCACTTCTTTCGGTTCTGGTGCTGGTCTGAACGTTCCGATCATTCCTAGTCCAGGATATCCCAGCGACACATACTGATCCAGCGGAATTAGCTCGGCGGCCTCTTCCGTGGTGGCCAAGGCACTTCCCCTACCCTCTACTTCTTCCATCAAGGCTCCGACTCGTCCAGGTCCATTGGTGATGGGGGCCGCAGCCATAGGTACGACTCCGATCCACTGTTGCGGTGGTCGGTGGGGGCAATCACGGGCTAGATGTCCGGGCTGATGACAGGCATAACAAACATTCAGATTGTTCGCGGCTCCTCCGAGAGCAGGGGCGGGGGCTAATCCTTGTTGCATCGGAGGGGCACGCACCGCAATAGGTCACATGCTCCTCATCATGGCTTCCAGCCGAGCATTGTGCTCTCGCTGTTCCTTTTTGCTTTCTTGGATTAAACTAATCAAAGTTTTGGTTAGTTCGAAGATGACCGCGGATTCGTTCGATCGTACGGGAGCCTCAACTGGCGGCGGGGGTAATGCCCTGACGGGCGGGGGCATCATAGGAGCAGAGATGCTCGGAGTCTCGCTTAGGATTACTCGTTTGGGGCCTACCTGTTCCATGTAAGTGACAGGTCCTGATACAAATCCCATGTTTTCAAATTTGTTCTGTAAAGCAGTCAGTTCTGCTCTTGCCCGTACGAGCTCGGTCAAATCTCCGTCTCTAGGGTAGTCTTCTCCTTCCAGGAAGTTCGCTGCAAACTTCCGTTCCATTTCTTCCACAACAGCCATAATTTGTTGTAGCGTATGAGTGATGGGAGAAAACTGCTTTCGCAACTTAGTCCTTATTGTTCGACTGCGGAGTCCGTCAATGAACAGATCTCTCCCTACTTGCTCACCTCGCTCAGTTTTTACGAACATCCTGTAGAACCGGTTCCGATATTCCGCAACGGATTCGAGCGGTTTTTGCACTCGGTCCTTGATCATGTACAATGCCTGCTCAGGGTGAACATAATCAAATCGGTTCATGAAATCCCGTTCGGAGGTCGGGAGATCCACCCATACATAGGTACTATACCAATGATGAGCATCTCCTCCCATTCGAGCCGGAATGTTGATCCGTGCTTCGTGATCATCGTACTGCTGTGCTCTAAGCGTGGCCAGCCATGCTCCTGCGAGATGGTGCGTCGGATCAAATAGATAGAGATCTGGTGGCGACATGGGAGCTCGTGCACGTGGGGCAGGTTGATTAGGTGGATTAGCATTTTGTTGCGGAACCGGATTTTGCACGTTGGCAGCCATATTGGCTGCTTGCCGGTTAGCCGCTCTGCTTCTGGTGACTATAGGGTTACGTCTAGGCGCGTTCCGAGGGCGAGGTTGCCCACGGTTAGCCAGGTCGCCTAATTATCGTGCTATCAATCCTAAGACCCTAGCCACGTGTCGGGCTCCGATACCAACCTCACGCCCAGCGCAACTTCCTGATCGGAGTGGGATGTGGGCCTGGAAGTGCGAAAAGGGGTGTGCCAAGGATTTTTGGGAAAGTGGGGGAGCCTTAAGGGTATGAATGCAATTAGGCGAATGAGGGGTGCGCGCGCAAGGGTCTCATGGTCCGAAGGGACCGGGACACTGTGATCGACGGGTTACGGGGAAATCCCTCCGCGGTGGAGGCGGTCCCGAAAAGTTAGGCCGTCGGGGGCCGCCACGTGGAGCGGGTCGCCGTGTACCTGGGTTGGGCCTGTGGAATTCCGGAGTTCTCTGTTCGCCGCTACGTCGGCAATTCACACAAAACGTGTCGGGCCAATAGGGGGCTATGGCTGGCCACGGGATGACACTGAGTTGATGGTACGGAAGAAGAAGGCGGAAAGGAGGGAAACTGGTGGTGATGACAACAAATCCCGGGTGGGTGAAGTAGTAGGTGTGGTCGGGAGAAGGGAAATCAGAGCACCGAGGGTCGCTAGAGGTGGCGCAGTGAAATTCCCGCGGACATAACCGATTCTCCGTATGACAAGGGTATCGCATCCTTATGAGCTCGTTTATCATAGGGGTGAAATAGTACGGGTCGTAAGATGAGTCTGAGCTCCAAGATCGTGTCATGGTGTCATCGTATATGGGTCAATTCGGTCAGGATATCGTCACCGCGCGCAAGCACGTGCCGGCCAGACAGCCTCAAGAGAGCCTCAGCGTGCTTGTGCGGGATGACGGCCCCGTCGCGAACCTTTTTGGGTGAGCAAATCGATGCACGGGAATACGTGTAAGGACGCAACTCAGATTGCGTCTACACGTGTTCTTCGCGCGGCGTTCGCGGGACCAGACTTTGGATCGTCTAATTGCTTCGGAAGGTTTTGATTATACAAGGGGCGACCATAGCACAACCATCATTGTGAGATAAGCAAAAACGAGAGCAAAATCGTTATCAGGGCCAAATTCCTATCCCATCTACAACGGCATCAGGTGTGACATAATCAAAAGGTAGGGAAGGATATTCTCAACAAAAGATATACAGACAGGCATAATATCCACACATTCATACATCCATACATTCGATAATCATAAGCGTAATGCAATCGGGACGGACACAGCAAAGACAAGTGTAAGCAAAAACCCAAGTCTCGATTCTCGAAAGCCGAAAATGAAAATGAGAACGGGCGAACCGCCCGGAGTCGTAATCAAAATGTATGTACTCAGATGAAGAGGGGGAAGAGCCAAAGAAACAGCAAATCCACGTCCATCGACCTCAACTCTCTCTCCTTCTCTCTCTCTCTGCGATGCGGACAGTCCGTCGTCAGATGTGTATAAGAGACAGGATGCGGACAGTCCGTCGTCACGCACCAACCCACGAAGTTGTCACCCCGCTTAGTCCTCCCGCACCCGTCGGATTCGCCCGTGCCCACAGTCCGTCGTGGCCCACGTCAATCCCGCGCGTTCGGCACCAGCCCTTCGGGTCGCCCAACTCCTACTCTACTCACCTCTTACTTCGCTCATGTGCCGACCCTTCCTGATCGCGCAACCCCGAGCTTCCAACAACAGATCAAGAGAGCTGACTAATCGCGCAACCGAAATTTATAGCGTGCATGCATGCGCGAAGAACACGGAATTACCGGGACTTAGAGTGGGGATTAGGGAGGGAGCGCCTACGTTCTGCATGATCGGCCACGGCGTGGGGGACGTAACCCTTCTCCACGCATCGATCCGAGCATGCAAGCCGCGGCTCACAGCAAAAGAAAGAGAGGGAGAGCGGGAGAGACGAAGTGCAAGAGGAAAGATACAGTTACAATGGCGCCCGTGCAAAATTGCAGTCACACACACGATTAATGGCGCCCACTAATCAGAGTACCATTGCAGCCGCATGAAAAAGCGCGTAGACAAAAGGCGCAGCGCGGCAGAAAAAGTTCTATTTACTGAATTCCTAAATTCCTATCTAGTGCGGAAAAGTAAAAAGCATACATTCCAGAAAGAAAGTCCAAAATCCCGAGAGCCATCGGGGMTCGACAAAATTYGAAAAAGATTCAAAAGGAAAYTMAAAAAGAACGAAACAATTTCCCGCGCGWTGTCCGCGCCCAAAAGATTGAACCCGAAACGAAAGAAACGAYGTCAACATTTATTAATCGCGCGCGTGGTGGCGCGCCAGACATCCATCCGACCAATCGCCCAGCCGGCCGTCCCCGGACACACCCAGCCCGGATGAAGCAACGAAAAAGGCGAAGAAGCAAGGGTACTGATGTAATTTTTCACCGATGCCGATTTCCCGTAATTGGCCCAATCTTCCCAGCTTAGGACCCCTTGTTGCAACCGCGCAGAAACTCGCGCGTTACAGAAAGTGGTTCATCACATCGCCGGGGGCGAATAACAGGAGAACGATGCCCTACGGCAAGACCATCGTCACACAGAAGAAAACGAGAAGAGATGGGAGAAGAGAAAAGAAACCGAGGGGGAACTGGGTTCCGTTCCCCTAGGCGCCTGGTTCACATGGCCTTTGGGGGCGGAGGCCCCAAAATCGGGTTTCGGGCTTCTGTGTCCGACTTGTCGAGCCCGTGCTGGCACCTCGGCGCAGGGCTGCCCGGGGTCGGGCAGATCGAGGGAACCCAGGTTCGAAAATGGGCCGGGAGCAAGCCCGCGTTGCGAGAGAGTTCGGGGAATCAGGTGGCCCCTTCGTAGCCCAGGACTAATCGTCGCCACGAGCACGAGTCTCCCTGGCGACACGAATGGCAATTTAACTGAGGCTGCCACGTTGCGTGAGCAGCTAACCAGGGCAACACCGTGAGGTCGGTTTAGGGCAGGATTAAGGGAGGGGAAGAAAACCGCTCAATCAACATGAATCCACTCCCTCCTATGTGGCACGCCCGGGTTAGGTTGTAAAGATGGATTGGCTTAGTGCGCCGCAATATGTTCCGTACGTCCGCATCGCAGTATACACTATCGTCACCTGCAATCGGGAAGGGCGGAAGCGCGCTGCGACATTCTGAGACGAAGTCTGAGCTCGGGCCACGTCCAGCGCTCCCGTCCGTCGAGACGAGACCAGGCTCCATGCAAAGACCAACGAATACCACCAAAAAGGATGCCCCTAGCTCTCTTTCTCTCTGTCTCTCTCTTTGTGGTCATCAACCCCAACGCGGTGTGGGGATCCAGGGTGGGCGTTAAGATGTCATCCGCTTCGCGGAAAGCGAACGACCGATCTCTCCGAAATTATCCGTCTCCCCCGAGCTCCTGTCCTGCGCACGATGAGAGAGAGGGACAGCGGAAGGAGGTTGACGTGTATCCCGCACACCCGCGCGCGCTAAGGGTGAACGAAAGGAGAAGGACCGGCGCACTCATGCACTCATGCAAGCAATCGACACTCGCTATTTCCTATCATCAGGCCTGGGGGCGAATACACACACGCCTACACGTAGAGCCCTCTTGAACAATGAGACATTCAACATCCATGGACTTCCATATCTGAGAATGCATACAACTGACTACCCACACATTGGGACCTTGCACACATCACACGGGGACAAATCAGCAATGGAGAAAAAACATGTTCTTAGTATACAGGATTCTCACAGCTGGCTGCTGAAGGCCCAACCCCCAATCCGTCAAAACCACCGACAACCATAGCCACAAGGCCCTGCCGCTACCGACGTTTGATCTCCACCACCGCTCAGTCCTTCCGACTGCCTTACCCCAAGTCTATTCGTAACTCCGCCACCCGCCGTCACTCCGCCCATCACGGGGCACGTCGAGCCTTTCCGGCGCTGCGGGTTTTGCACATAGCTCGCGGAGCTTGCATCCAAAATCAAAGAAAGCGAGAGGAAGGGGTTGTGGGAATTTATAGCGTGGAAGGTGGCGGAGAGGCTGCGCGAAGCATGGGGTCACGGTGTAGATGAGTCGGACAAAAGAAGGGCAGAGGCTCCCGAAGGATCGAAGGAGGCGAGTCGAATGATCTGAGTGATTGGGGTGGTCGTCCAAGTGGGGTGCGCTTCCTGCTACCACCACATTGACGCGACCATCCCAATCAGACAGCCAATCGTTCGTAGGGAAGGGAGAAAGGGGGGATCAGAATTCGCTTAGAGGGAAGACGAAGAGGCATGCAGGAAGGGAGTGTGCAGCAATAAGGGAAGATGGCGCGGGGATGCGGAGCAAGAGAACAGGTTTACCCGGCGCGCAAAAATTCAAAAAACAGCCATGCGAGCAAAAAATCAAAATTCCTACTCCCACTAATCCCAACTGTTTCTTGAATTTCTTGGCGCAGCCGCTAACCGGCCACGCAAGACCCGAATTAAGTTTTCTACTCCGTCCCTCTTTTTGTACAGCCCCGTTCTTCCCTATTATCTTGAATCCGTACTTTGGGGTCTTACATGGGATTTTCCCTTAAGGGTACGGGAAGCCGCTGCGTACGGACCCTGGCTTATCACATCTGTGATGCGCAGGGGGTTTCAAAAAAAATAACAGTCTCCTGATTGCTGTATAGGCGTCCTAATTACTCTAAGGATCCGGGCGGCCATTTCTTCTTCGGCTGGCCCAGTCTATCGCCTATTCTACCTCGATGCATCTCTCATCGTTGTGGATCTGCCTTCCCGTTGTACACCCGATCGGGTGGTCCCTTCATCGTCCGCTGCCCCGATTGGTACACGAATGAACTTCAAATATATGTTTTTGTTTTTGTTTTGACGATGCGTTTTTGTCGCGCGACCTTTCTAATTAGGAACAAAAGAAGAAGAAGACGAAGAAGAAGAAGATCAGAGGAAATGGTCGATCTCGGGATTAAGAGGGTGAGGAAGAGGAGGAAAAAAGGTTGCCAGTGCAACCGGAGTCGTCGGCCCCTCCACTTCGTTGAAGTGGTGTTGGACGAAGGAGGGGTAGAGAAAGGCCCCCGGTACGTGCGACAGAACACGTGGCGCCCGCAATGGCCCGTACGACCCGTCGCCACACCATGCGATTCTCAGGACCCATCATCACCAGATGGGTCTCGGTATATGGCCTTCGCTCCCTCTTGAGCACCGCGATGACGAGGAAATGCTACATTGCGTTCGACCGTTGGCCGGCCTCGTAAATGAGCGTCCTTGCTAGCTTGGCCATTACGCATCCTTCAAATGGCGGCTCCAGATATGGCTCCCATGCAATATCAGGACGCGGGGCCCCTTCGATTGCCTCGAGCCTGATTGTTGCAGGCTCCACCATGAACTCGACATCCGTCATGTGGACCGTCCGGCTCGGATGAACTACTAAGGTCAATAACAGGGGCACTCCGGGGTGGCTGGCGGAAGCAAAAAGGTCCTGGCAGGATGGGGGGTATGGGTGCGGGATATGGTACTCCTCCCACTCCTTCTCCTCCTGCTAGTGCTGACGGGTCAGCTCCATCAAGATTGAGATCGGGAAGGAGTGGTGGCGGTGGTATCGGCTCCGGATTGCGCTTGCGTATCCTGAATCTGCCGGTCTCGACTCTCTCTCTCGGCGGAGGTCCCTCGATCGGTGTCGCCTTGCTCTCTGGAACGGGATCAGGCTTCCGCACAGGCCCAGGCTCGGCCCTTCTTCCTCGGGTCCCACTCGGCTTCCTTGCGCCTCCGACAATGGCTGGCGATGTCTCTTCTTGGGCGTCTTCCTGGGGGTCTTCAGGGTTGTCGGCTTTGGATAGGATGAGGGAGGTCGCAGCGGCTTCCGGTCAGTGAAGTTTACCACCTTTTCTCCCCTTCGTGCGATATAGTCCGGTACAACCACCGTGCGGTACGATCGCCGAGGAGTTGATGATGTCCGACGTCTGCAATCGGAGTTGGAGGTCTTCTTTCTCACTGCCGATCACCTGCTCAATAGAGAGTACCTCAATATGGATGAGCTCCAACGTTCCCAGCTTGCTCATCCCGATCTCCCCGAACGGATACACTGCCACCGTGCCCTCCTTATTCTCTGGCTTGGGTTGTGAGATGACGTAGTACACGTGCAGGTTCTCAGCGATATTGTGATCACCGTGCTCCACGTAAAACCGGAACATGCCCACCACCATTGATCGATACAGCACCCGATGTAACTCCCACACGTCTTCGTCAACGCACGGCAACGGCTCAACGTCAATCATCTCCACCAAGTACTCGGAGAAGTTGCGCATGGGGTAGGGGCTCTCCATGAGTTGGCAAGGAAGGGTGGTGTAAGAAAAAAAGGGAGACATTTAGTATGAGGGAGGGGAAATAACTTGGATGTTGAGATGATTAGCGGGGGGGAGGAGCGCGGGTAGCTGAGGCACCAATGCTAGCGGGCAGTCCTGTGCCAGTCGCAATAGCGTGTGGTAGGTCGTGAAACAATGACCCCGTCCCTGCACACGCGCCACTGACCTCGCCACTTGCACCTCGTAATCCCGTAGAAATGTCCACACCGGTTCTCAGTGTCGATCGTCCAGGGGCGTCAAATCGTCGATGAACGTAGCGATGCTGTGCACAGCACAAACGCGCGAACGTGAAGGGGCGCAAACAAGTTCGTCGTGCTACACAACTGAACACGGTGGTTTAAGTGTGGATTCCATTGCACGTCCACAAATTTTGTAACTTAAAAGTCATAATTGTCATGGAGTTGTCCGAAATTGAAATTCAATAGAACATTGAATTTCAATATAATCAGACACTGAACAACAAATTGAATTTTTGATTTCATCATACCTTGATCATTTTTATATGAGCATTGAGTCGGACGTATTTTACATCACATGTGAGTTGCATATTAAATTGGAACTCAATCGAAGAGTCAAGGAAATCACATAGTAAAGAAGTATGGATTCCGTCGCACTCCGATAATTTATGTAACTTAGAAAACGTAACAGACATGTCATTGTCATACATTGAAATTCAAGAGAACGGTGAACGCAATGAGACACTAAAGGAGAAGGTTGTGAATGACCTCTGCATTTTATCACACTTCTATTAATTTTGTATATCACTTAGCAGTGAGTCGGATGTATTTTACATGACATTGTGACTGCCAAATATTGAAAGTGAATCGAAGAGTCAATGCAATTATACAGTAAATCAGATGATTTAAGTATGAATTTTGTCACACTTCGATAAATTATGTAACTTAAAAGACGTAACTGATGTAAACTGAAAGTTAAGTGAGTATGGATTCCGTCGCAATTCGAGAAATATCGTAATCATGAAAAATATATATGTATATTTAATAGATTGAGGGAATCACATAACGGGGTTCGGAATCTTCGGATTGTGAAAATAATATGAAAGTATCACATGAAGCTAGGTTTTTGGATCGGACGTCCGGGGCCCCCCTGACCGTCCGGGATGTCCGACCGGACGTCTGGTGGGACGTCCGACCGGACAGGGGATGTCCGACCTAGCGCAGAAAAAAAAAAAAAAAAAAAAAACGTTCTCCGAAAAATCTGAAAAAATATATGTTATGTAACATAACAATACAAGCAACTTTTGCCTTGGATTCATGTTCAAATTCGCAGTCAATCATGAGTTAAAAATCGAAAACCGAAAAACAAATATTTTTTTTTTTTACGAAAAAAAAAACTTTTTTTCCCGGACGACGGGGGTACCAAACGTATGGGGGAGACGTCCGGGGGAGACGACCGGCCCCCGGACCATTGGTAACCTAGACATAAAGTTAATTTAAAAGTCAAAAATTGTATGCACACATGCGAGAAATCGTAAACGCAACGTCGAAATTAAATGTTATGAGCCAACTCAAGATTGAACTACATCTACAATAAATGTTACAAGCCGCCGCGATTTAAAAAATACGATCATTTAGAAAAACATCTACAAGTGTCATCGCGTCCCATTAGAACCAAACCCGTATAAAGCATTAATTGACAACTTGAAAGAAAGGGTTTGTGGTTGTCCCTTCGTCGCCACATTCGAGAACACAGAAATGTATTTCATCCTTCCAAACTTGCCAACACCTACCAAGGACTTAGCAATAGCATCACTCACACAACATGTCACTTGCTCTACCTCACGCCACTTGTCAATCTCATCGATTTGACCAACAATCTCCAAATCGGACTTTCCGTTCTCGTATAGAAGGCGCGAATTACCCATATCGCAACCATTGATTCTAAGCTCGTTGCAAGAAACAAGCACTACAACATCTACCAAAGTTTGTTTTCGGTTCGAACATGCCACACACAACACTTTGCAGAAGTCGAAACCAGCCAAAGACAATCGTACGCAACAGTATGACACATCTTGCGATCACGTTTCGGCAGCACGAGGTGGATATAGTTCCAAAAACGGATTGTACGACGCATAGTCCAATAACTTTTGTTTCAAGTTCGTGGACCACACGAAAGGTGACCCCGTGACATTCTCAAGGCAAAGGTAAAACCACTTATTCTCTTCCTGTCTGAGTGCGGCGCGCAGGGATGGAAGTTGCCTGACGCCGATGACATAATGAGTTACTTTGATTAGGCTTCCCCACTCCACTGAAGCAAATTTGTACTCCTTATGCCATAAATATTTCCATGTAAGGATCGCTCTATCCCATTCTGCTTCGGATCAGGTATCGAGAGGCTTGTCCAAGAAGGGGACGACACTCATCCACGCGCCGTTTTCGAACTTCGTTGTCATCGGCCCAAGAATTTCGGTATCGCCGCCTGCACCACACAATCCGCATGCGCAAGGGTGAATGAGATACGAATAATCATGCCAATGGGTCATGACTTCTGTCACACTCCCTACACAAGACAAAATATGCAAAACAAGTATCGAAAAAATACGCATATGTGCCATTGAATCCACTTCAAAATGTTATAACCTACCCACCCTTACTCAATACCCCTTACCCCACGCATGATAGCATCCAAAAACTCCCTGTCCGTATGCAAGCACACACAACTCCCTACATAACTCCCCCTCACCACAACTCAAGATACATATCATATCTAGGAGCTCGATAGCAGCATCACCTGCAGACACTGATAAACCGCTCCCCGATAACCCAATAAGCCCCCCAATCCCAAAAGTACCAATCTCACAACACTTTGTTGTAACCTAACACCCTCCATACGCATTGGCCGACACACAGTACCCCCCTGCGACTAACACATATTCCCGCCCAACCATGTTCCCAACCATCCCATTCAAACCATTACTCTACTTCATATAACCCCTCCCCGCCCTCTGAAACTCGCCAATCGGCTAGAGTCTACCAACCTATACAGCTGCCTTCCTCCTCCACTCCTCTTCCAAAAAAAGAGCATACTCCGCGCTGCTCTCTTCCTCTCAAGAACATACTCCACTCCACTCTCTTCCTCTCACTACACCAACCAACTGTCCAAGCTTCTGGTCTCTGGGCACCGATCTTGCATGCTCCTTGTGCTACAGATTGGATAAGTGTTTCCACTAACGGAGACCCATCTCTTGTGGCCTCAACAACACAACTACACTCTTGTGCGAAACGTCACTACATAAGCCCACAACGCAAGCCACTGCAGCGATGGTCACCATGGAAGATGCTACTTCATCGCAAAATTTGTGCCTTGAGGTAATCCCCTTTTCTTCCATACTGCACGCAGCCTACCTTCCTCGACCCTATCCTAACCTTCTTACCTTCTTAATGGGAGCCAGAGGCAGACCCTCTGATGAGCCTTCAATGGTGCTATGAGGCGAAAAGCGCTTCAGGGCACGCACCCCCCTCCTGACAATAAGTTGTTGGATGAAGATAGCATTTTGCTATCACTGCCCCCCCACAACTTCTCGGATCTTCACAACTTTCTCCTCCTCCTTATCTTCCTTCTCTACCCCCTTAATGCTAATGAATTGCATGATCATTGTTTATCTAGAGTACATGCTTGTATGTCTTCTTGCTAATGGTTTCCCTGCCTCTGTACTGGTTCCATTTCAGATGTGGCGACATGATGTAAGCGCATAACAAGGTGAGGTTCGTTTCCTGTGAATCCATGGGATTGCCATGTTATACACACATCTCCCACACACAGACACACATTCACTAACACATCCACATACACATTCACACACACATACATACACACATACACACATTCACACACACATACACACACACACACACACACACACACATACACACACACACACATATTAATCGGCCCTTGCAAAAAAACAGTACTATTTTTTTTTTTCATTCCTTGATTTTTTTTCTTATTACACAAAAAAACAAAAAATACATAAAATCGAAGAAGACAAAGAGTTTCCAACCAAAATATATATATATATATGTTTCTTTTTTCCATCTTTTTAGTTTTTTATTTTTTATAATTCTTTAAAATTAATTGTTTCCTTTAAAAAAAATATGGGGTTGTAGCCTTGTAGGGTTTGAAAAAGCCTACAACCCCTTTTTTTTTGCTATTATTTTCGATGAGAAACTTCGTGAAAAACGTGGCCGCTATGAGGTCGACCCGAGTCGTGGCCGCGGCTATGAACTCGGCCACCCTGCGGCGACCACGAGTGATACATAGTCATCCTCCTTCTCCTCCTCGTCAGCATCGACCCTTTCCTTCTCGTCCTCCTCCTCCTCCTCCTCTTCCTCCTCTTCCTCCTCTTCCTCCTCTTCCTCCTCTTCCTCCTCCTCCTCCTTCTCCTCCTCGTCCTTCTCTGATCATTCGGATCACCAGATAAAACTGTTCAACATATGCAACTATTCTGAGGGAAACTTCGTAGGGAACCAGGCACGAGACGGTTCGATAAGTCTTTCGCTTGTGTACCGAAGTCTGAGAAACGATTTGCACGTCCGTATTGCTTCGAGCCTCATTTTATAATTTTTTTTTTTTTTTAAATCAATCAATCAAGGAATCAAGCAGTCAAGCAATCAAGCAATCAAGCACTCAAGCAATCAAGCAGTACAAAAAAAGGAAAAAAAAGACTCATCGAATCAATCGATTGGATTGGATATTGATTTTGAAATCAATATCCAATCGAATCGATTTTTTTTTTTTTTTTTTTTTTTGATTGATTGATTGATTGATTGATTGATTGATAGATTGATAGACCGGTTGATTGATTGATTGGTTGATTAATTGATTGATTGATTGATTGACTGATTGATTGATTGATTGATTGATTGATCAGATTACCCGATAAAACTGTTGAACAGATCCAATTATCCTGATAGAAATTTCAGAGAGAATCGGCTACCAGACGGCTCGATTAGTCCTTAGTTAGTATACCCAAGTCTGACGAACAATTTTCACGTCATTATCCCTTCGTGCCTCATCTCATAAGTATGTTTTTTTTAATCAATCAATCAATCAAT